CCCTGTTGTTCCTCTCCTGTTTGAAGGCCCAATCCCTTACAATGGCTACCAATCCCGAAGGTGAAAGGCTCCCTCTGGTTCCGTTCTCCTTTGGCTGAAGGTCAGAGATGGACGCTGAACTGCTCTGGGCTTTCCAGCAACAATATTGACTACCACTAATGAACTGACTCGCTGCTGTACATGCACGTAGCTTCCTTGCACTGCTAAAAAGTATCATCGCCTGACCCATTTTGCCCGTTAATGGTGAATTTTAGCCCGTAATTGGCATAAGCGAAAGCAGGCGGGTTGTGCAGTGTGTAACAGGCGCAGTGTTACAGCTGGACAGCTGACAAATTCCGGTGGTGGTTTCCAACTAACTTGGCTGTTGGGGGGTTTCCAATTGCTCCAGCTTATTAATTTTGTTAAATGTTTTCACTGTTCCTTTATGTGAATAAAAGATGTGTATTTAAAGATTTTATAAATATATACTCACGCCCGTTATATATACATACATCTCTATACGAAATGTCAATTTCCTAATGAGTGCTTTAATTTTCTGCTCCCCTTCTCCCGTGTTAACTGTCCGAATGCTCTCGGTGGTGGTGGGTTAAGGTGGATACGGTGAACCAACCGACCAAGACATCCCCGTAGTGCAGTTGCCACATAACTCCTACCAAATCTATGACCCCGAGGACCTTTACGATGGTGAGCAGCAGCCCTACGTGGGTCACGGGTCCTACCCCCTCCCGCCCCCGTACTCCCAGCCCTCCTATCCATCTCCTCATCTCGCTCAACCAGAGTTCACCCCCGTTCGAGAGGAGCTGGAAGCCGTTGAACTGAGGTCCCCAGGAATCAGTCGCTTCCCAAGGAAGGTAGCCAAAAGGAGCCTCAAGACTCCAGGACGCAAAAGGGCGAACGGAAAAAAACCCTCTCAATGAACTGTTTAAAAAAGGGAAACGTTTTATGTGCATCTGTGTTTGGCCTTTGTCCAGGTGCCTGACCTGGCACGGAAGATGTTTACAGGCTCTTATAGTAAAGGAGAAAATAAATGTACACGGCCAGTTGATACAACAACTAACGCTAATTATCTTGCATGCCAGAAATGTAGTATGTTAGTGGGTTGGTGCTAGATGATGATGGAAGGTCACCTGTAGATCTTTCTCTGGAGTGCTGTCCATACACTACTCACACTGTATCTAAACCCCACACCCGGCGAGTGGGGGGGGGCGTAGAACCATTCCGAAAAGTTCCTGTTTCGTTATCCATGTGTCTCCAGTTGATCACGTTCCCTTGGTTTTGGCTGAACTGCGTTACTGCAGAGTAACCTGCCCAAATTCACTGGAAAACGAGGCATATTCCCTTGACACCAGCTGTTACCATTTCACAACGGATCTTATGTTAATGGAATACTTTTTTTAACCCACCTTATATAAATACACTAGAATGTTCTGTGGGAGCACACTGATAATTTATTGTGAACCTCTTTCATTTCTGTTTTGTATGCAAATAAAAGTGGCAAGCTTTTATACATTAATTCTGTATTTGACTGATTTTTAGCTTAGAACAATTGTATAGATCTTTGGGGGACAGAATGTAAAGAGAAGAAAATACATTTTCCTTTTTCAACACTTTTGGGCAACAGTTCTATCCTAAAGGATACAGGCAGTTGGTATAAACAGTATTTAGCCTTATTTTTAAATTTGTATATGAACAAGCGGGGAGTAACTGTGAGATGAGGTGACCATATCACCTCTGGATGTGAGGTCTTGTACAATGACCTGCTAAAGTCAAAGTGGCAGGAAGGGGCACGAAGGGAACTTGGATCAGAGGAAGGAAAAACCCCAACCCAACCCTCTTTGAGGAGCACGAAGCAATTCCTGATGCTAAAACAAACCAGGTACGTTATAAAGTGAGTCAACAGACAGTTTGGAATAGCACTACGGAGCCTGAGCATTAGAGAGCTATTATTAAAATGAAATCCCAGTTCTGGCTGCATCCATGGTTACTCTCCCTGCTCGCACTGGGCTGTGGACACCCAGGTTAACTTACCCCAAACGCAAACTCCCTCTCCCTGGTTGTCCTTCTCCCGCCACCTCTCTCTCGCACTGACATCTCGCGTCTCCCCTGTCACCTGCCAGACTGTGGGGCCTGTGGCAGTGACTCCAAGAAGGTCCCTGTAGGAAAATCAGCATTCAAGAAATTCTGCCAGTGTTGTCTCAGAAAGACTTTGAGCCTCTCCTTACAATTCCTAATTAATTTGCACCCTAGACTGGTTGTCAAGCCACGCTCCATCCAACTCTCCAGTGCCCATGGGCCTAGGAAGAGGGGTAGAGCAGAACCAGGGATGGTGGGAAGCCAGCACAGACATAGTGGAACTCTCCCAAGTAAGGCAACTGGTGTTACTTCCCACAGATCTGAAATGGACGGGAACAGCCCGACCAACCCCTGCGTGTCCCTGAGCTGGGCAGCTGGTGTCACCTTCGCTGTGCCCCTCCCAGCCCGAGGGGTCTCCAGCTGTAGGACACACACCTGGCCCATTTTCCCCCTCACGCCATGTGGGACGGAGATGCAACGAACCAACCAAACAAGAAAGAACTCTTGGGTTAATCAAGTAGGCCCACTCATTACAATTTTATAACTTAATTTATATACAAAACCACAAACTTTAATTGCACTACTTAACTTGCTCTAACTTCGTACTTATAATGGCATTTACAGGTACCCCGCTAACCGGAATGTATCCTCAGTCATCTCCTCGCTCGCTGGGTGTACCTTGGGAATAAAAACTAACTGGTGGGCACTACCAAGTTACATAAATATTATTCAGGATTTGTACGTTCGCCAAAAAAAACTAAAAGACAGACACTCACGGTCAACATTTCTCCAAAATGCAGTCTCTGAACGATCAGGACTGTCTCGTGTTTTTCCAGACTGCCTAAGAACCTTCAAGTTGCCAACTGTGAAGTATTTAGCACATAATGAACAGCTGATGCCACCCAGATCTTACCAACAAAGTATTTGTACTGTGTCCTTATGCACAAAACCAGAGCATTTACTTTAACCTGATGCTTTGAAAAATACTTGTACTAGTTAACTAAAGGTGGTTTCTGACTTGGAAACGAAGCTTGTGCGCTCACCGGACAGGAACATTTCCTGGGATAAACCCATCTGGATGCCAAAGACATACCCAGTACAAAATTACTATTTCATATAATGAAACATGATTATAAATAAAACTGCTTTTCTTCCTATATGGTGCTTGTATAGAACGGATATAGAAAACACCAATTTTCCCCAACAAACATTGTAAAATTTGGCAGGTAACACATAACTGTCTTCTACTATACAGAAAACAAGAGGTGCTTCGTTTACTTACACCACAGCTTTGGCTTGAGGGTGATCTGTACAGGGAAGCAACAATGGACTTCAGGGAAGTAATTTTCAGAAGAAAAATAATTCTTAAAACTTATTTTGCATCATTCAACACTTAACATTCTATTTCCTCCATTGGTTTTCATAACAAAACTGTTGCTCCTTCATTCTTTAATACACACTTTAAGGAAGGGATGATCCTGTGACTTGAATCAAAATCAGATTTGGGCCTAAGAGGGGAAAAAAAAGGAAGAGTGTTCCCCATACGATCCTCTTTAGTGTCTGTTATTTCAATAAGCTCTTTAACAAAGAGCTGTCTTAGGCAGACAGAACACTACAGATACCGAGTCTCCTGCTGACAATCCCGTAACATCACCGTGTCAAGAGTGAAATATGATCAGGAATATACATAATACTGTTAAGCAGGTAGAAAGCAGAGAAGAGTCAACCTTGATGCTGTCATTCAGCAAACTGGACATTCAAGTGCAGAGCAGTCTAACAAGAGTCTGAACACCAGTAAGATTATTTTTTAAAAAGTAGCTTTCATTCTGTTCCTTATGCAGTGCCTGGAGGTACACCTTTCCCACCACCACGGTTTGCTGTTTGGGTGCAATCTAGGGAACAGTATCACCTCTGAAATGGATGCTCTCCTTGCTGCTCTGCAGTATTCCAGCACTATGATCTGTTGGAACCGAAACATCGCTTTTCCAGCATCCAAGAAACTCCAGACACTGTGAAACACTGCAGTCTTCCTCCCTGCAGCAAAGAGACCCTCTGTAAGCACACACTGATTCCCCCCGCCTTCATTTTGGGTGTTGCAAGCACACCATATGGCACTCCACACCAAGAGTCGGCCACAGCTTCAGGATGAGAAACTATGGTTGGTGACCAAATACCTTTTTGGTCATAATGAACAGGCGAAATGATAAGCAAAGCATCTTGGGCAGAAAAATCCTTAGTAGAAGGTTGCTGAAGACTGTGAGATAAATCACAGCACATAAAAAATGACCATCACAAATCTCACCTCCTCATTCCTCCAAGATGTGCCATTCAATAATGGTTCTCTTGTCTCCAAGAAGACCAGAGTATGCCCACACGTGTGTTTGGTACCTGCATCAATTCCTCTGAAGAGCTCTGTTTTTCTAGTGTGTAACTTTGCTCTGGAAGTTTTATTCTTCTCAGCCCCAGCACAGCAACTTCAGCGGGTACGTTCACCCAGAAAGACAAGACAAGGAAAGTGCAGGCCTGCACAGACATGCATTCAGCCAAACCCCACCGCTGGTTTCACACGGGATACACCCTCAGCATTCCAGAAAAGACCTTCAGAAGAACCGCACAATCAGTTACAGAAGTAATAAACAGCTCAAGTCACTGGTTGGTTTTTTTACACCCCCAAAGAGAAAGCGAGGTCCCCATGAACAATTCCCTTTTTCTGAACCAAGACTGGCATTCTCTCACTCATCAGGCTTGTAAGGATGGGTCACCTCTTTCACCAGGAAAGCAAATCAGATTTACCCCCAGCGTGCTGTCTGTGGCAGCTCCGTGACCATTATTCACTGCTCTTACCTCACGCAATTCAAGTTTTGCAGCTTTCAGAGTGAGATACTTCATTTCAGTAAACAATGCACTGTTTCCATGAGATGTAAATATTCCTTAAAAATATATCAATTCTTTAATAATAGTATTAAAACAAATGTAATTAGCAAATACCAGATCGTACAACACAGAGTACTGGTGGTATTAACAATATAATATCTATTCTTGGCTGTTTCAAATACATTAATTTTAACAATCTTTCCAAATAAAGTTTGCTAACACTTGCCAAAAGCACTCTGTATAGAAGAGTTGAAAGAGATGCACAGATGCCTCCACGTTAGATGACTTTTTTTTCCAAGGAGGAGAGTCATTCCTGATGGCCGTTTTTCTTCCTTTACTGTTGTTATTTCCTTCGAAAATCTTTAGGTCTGGGGAAAAAAACAAACCAGAAAGGGTCTTTGTTAAGGAAATATATGGAAACTGCAGTGGCTTTGCTTGAAGGATGCAGTAACAGCTGTAACTATTTTTATTTCCTTATTCTGGTGCTTGAGGTTTTGTGCTGATGGATATTTTCTGGATTACATTAAAAAGTCAAAACTAATCAGAGAAGATTACTAAGACCTCTAAGAATTTACAGACATCAGGACTAGCTGGGTCAAGGTGTCTCTTACGACCCACTCCTGCTTTCCTAAACAAAACAGAAGAGTATTTTTAACTGAATGCAGTCTCACTTTAAACACTAGCATTAATTTATCTCCAGTTAAAAAAAAAAACAACAAACCTGTACATAAACCAGCAAGTTTTAAGTGAACAGCCTATTCCCTACAATGCTACCAGAGTAACTAAAACTAACAACTTAAAGAAAAAAATACTTTGACTCTTAAAGGTTGTGCAATCCCTTCTGCTTGGACGGCAAATGTGGAAACCATTCAGCCAACAGACTGCTGTTTGTAATCCTCTGCTATTTCCTACTCGAGCACATGTCACTCTGCCTGTCGCGCAGCCACCGGCCGGAGAAGCAACGCTGTCCCCACACCTACCAGGCACAGGATCAGACTAGGTCACGGTTTTTAGAAGAATGCCAAGTTTGAGGGCTAGAAGCCAGTCTACATCCCTCACAGGTCCTGGAGAGAAGTTCAATTTTCACTAGAATTAAACACGAGATGTAGCGACAGAGGTTTTGTAACCGTGTAATGGGACAAATGCACAAAATCAGTGCATTTGCTGTGAAACTGACTGAAAACAGAGCCTGGAATACAGGAAAAGCTGCAATCCACAACTGTAAACCAAGTTAAATTTACAACGGTGGTAAATTTTATCACTAATTTTGTTCATCAGTGCAGATTAAAAGCAAGTATCAGTGGAAGCAGGGGGGTGACACTGGGGACAGAGAGTTTGATGGCTGCAGAGACACCCAACAGCAATGTAATACTTCATTAGGCATTAAAATCGTACGTTGCAGATCCAGTGTTTTTCAACCACTAGCACTGCAAAGTGAAGTCAGTTGTGCAATTCTTGTACAAGCCTGTAGGATCTTATGGTAAAGCCACTCTGGAATTCAGTCTGTGCTATTTCAAGTGTATCCTATAAAATTTGATGATTGTATGAATTCTAAAGAACAACTATAAAGACGAACTATTGTTCATGCTGAATGTATATCAAAGCTTCTTTGTTTCCCATTTAAATGGAATATTAACATTTGGACTTGTATCTTTTGTGCATGAAAGAACTTCAGTAAGCACCACACCCCTTGTGTACATACTTGCTTAATGCTGAACTTGAACATACTCAACATTTGAGAATGCACGAGACAGTCAGGTCACGGTTCCTACAGTCCTGGACTTCAGTCTTCAGAAATGTTCCACATCCTGTTACTCCCATCTCACCCCTGCACACCACAATAGATATTTCAGCATAACACACTGTTTGTGGTGTCTTAAGAGAGCAGGATTTTGAGCAGTGAGACTTAGCAGAACTTTAACCACTGCATCCATCCTAGAGCGGGGGACCAGTGCCGAAAGATTTCAGAGATGCAACGTGGTAAAGACATCATTGTCTTGCAGCTTATAGTTATTACCCATCCACTTGCACATTGCTCAAAGGATTTTGCATTTGTCTTTGAACGGCACAGTTAAAACTTCTATCTCAGGTTACACTGGAGCACTGCAAAGCTAGAGAGCTCACAGTACTTTGTTCTTGGGTGAAAATCCAATTTTTTTTTTTTTTTTTTTTTTGCCAGCTATTCGTATTTCAAACTTAACGCTTGTTTTAAATGCATAAAACATTGGACTCTTAGTTTGCAGTCTTACAAAGTTAATGAAGCTTAAAGGCAGAATTTTCTACACTGATTCTTGGGTGAAAATCCAATTTTTTTTTTTTTTTTTCTTGCCAGCTATTCGTATTTCAAACTTAACGCTTGTTTTAAATGCATAAAACATTGGACTCTTAGTTTGCAGTCTTACAAAGTTAATGAAGCTTAAAGGCAGAATTTTCTACACTGAGACACTCGTGTGAACAAACATAAAAGTTTTTAAAGCCTTTTCTATTGCCACAGTAGGCTTTTATGTCTACTGGTACTTGGCTTTTGGAGGCCACAATCTCTGCTTTTAAAGAGTCCTTGGCACTAGGAAAGCTAAGCCTTGAAAAACACTGCCTTTGGCAAAAGTGTTATAAATATTTTGTCAGACAAAGACTAGGAACACACAAAAACCTTGTCCACTCAGAGAGAATTATTAAGTACTTGAGAACAGCAATGGATAATTGCTCATTGATAAATGACATAAATCCTTGCAAGAGTGGTGGTCTTTGATGGCAGTGCTTTCTCTTCTTCCTCAGCAAAGCACTGAGATTATGCATTTGGAACAAAGGAAATTATACCTCCTAGAAGACACGGTTCAGAAATTCACCCAAAGGCAAGACTTCACATACTCTTTTTTTTTAAGGGAACATTCTTGGGGAAAAAAATAATTTTGCTGTATATTGACAGCAGGCTCCAAGACAAGGGGAAACAGGAGGCAAAATGTGGGAACTCGCGTCTCTGAAATCTCTGCTGAAAGGCAAAGTACTACGGGTTCACTGAAAATGTGCAACATCAGTCTGTGCAGCAGATGTCTGCCACCAAAACATGGAAAAAAATACTTGTCCCACTAACATTTTATACTGAGCATAAAAAGCACTAAGACACAGTCCAGTGAATTCGAGGCAAAATAGCCAGCAAATTAAATTGACATCCAATTACACCCTGCCTCTCAGTGCTTCCCACTCTTAACAAAGAACTGGTCCTACACTCTGATTACAAATTTTAAATATCTTAAATTCTCCCTTTTTTTTTTTTTAATATACTCACAGCTATCATAGAATCATAGAATAGAATCGTAGAATGGTTTGGGTTGAAAGGGACCTTAAAGATCATCTCCTTCCAACCCCCTGTCATGGGCAGGGACACCTCCCACCAGACCAGGTTGCTCAAAGCCCCTTCCAGCCTGGCCTTGAACACCTCCAGGGATGGGGCAGCCACAGCTTCTCTGGGCAACCTGTTCCAGTGTCTCACCACCCTCACAGGAAAGGATTTCTTTCTAGTATCTAATCTGAATCTTCCCTTTTCCAATTTAAAACTGTTACCCCTTGTCCTATCACTAGACTTCCTGACAAACAGTCTCTCTCTGGATCTCCTGTAGCTCCCTTCAGATATCGGAAGGCTGCTATAAGGTGTCCCCAGGCTGAACAGCCTCAGAAATCAGAAGAGGAAAACAGCCGATGTAAAATTCTGACAATCCACAGTCACTGAACACAAAACAGGTAAACTTCCACATCGATACAAATTCATGGGATCAATTTTTGCTATGGTAAACAAAAGGTTCTTAGTGGTCCCCACTGTAACTGGTGGCGCTTTCTTCTTCCCCAAACTCTGCAGACTTAAGGTATTCTACATAAAAGTTGTCTTTTGATTCAGATACCAGCCCTACACGCTTGAACACTGAAAAAATCAAATGGACCAACAGAGTTTTCCCATTTACAGGGGAACTGTAAATATTTTGCTCAGTAGCCCACTTGAAGAAATAAGACTGAGGTCAAACCAAACCCTCAAATACAGGCTAAGATCTTCCCTAGAGGCACAGTAGGTCTGGTTCAGTCTATTTTATAATCCGACTCCTCTCATACGTATACCTGAGCACACCTTTTTGTAAACCCATACTCTACAAAGCTTTTTTTACTCAGATACGTCAAATTTCTAAATAGTTTTGAATTTACGTTCATTTTGAAAAGAATTGCTATTCTTTTCTCCTGAGCAGTGACAGCTGTTAATGGTCGTAATTTCAGCAAGTGTTAATCCCATCTACAATACAGAGAAACAGTAAAGTATAAGGAGTGAATGTGCATGCAGGAAAAAATAACATTTCTGATACAAAGTTGCATTAAGTAACAAAATACACCAAATGCTCCTTAAAACACCAAAATCCCAGCTAAGTGCACCTAGGGTTTGTGTCTTTTTAGCCTCCACTGTAACTCCTGCATCAGAGAAGCTCCATCCCTGACAGCAGTAATACCACTGTTGCACATACTATATTATAAATCATATAGTTAAAAATACTGCACTCAGTTTGCCTGTTTACAATGAAGTAGAAAACAGAATAAAACTTTTTGTAGTATTTATTCAGAAAACAAGTTATTCAGTGTAAAAGAAAACAGAACCGAAGGCAGGTTAACAAGACTGAAAGTCTCGTTACAAGACTCAGTATTAATTTCAAAATGGAAACTGAGATAATAAAGACAACCTTCACTGAAAAATACTTCAATATATTACATCATTCTCTTAAAAAGATGTCAAGATTAGAAAAAAAAAGTTCTCAGCTTGCTGACCTGCCTCTTTATTACTTATTCAAGATATCTAAAGAGTCTGAATTAAATATTAAGAAGAAAATAGTGGGAAGGCAGTTCTACCTGGACCAGGAGCAATGGGCACAAACTGAAACACAGGACATACCGTCTGAACATCAGGAACCACTCTTTACTATGAGGTCAATGGAGCACTGGAGCAGATTGCCCAAAAAGGTTGTGGAGTCTCCATCCCTGGAGATACTCAAAAGCTGTCCGGACACGGTCCTAGGCAACCAGCTCTAGCTGGCCATGCTTGAGCCAAGGGGTTGGATCAGATGACTACCAGACATCCCTTCCAACTAACTGGTGTGTGATGATGCAGTTAGAATTGCTTTTCAGACTAAACTGTAGCTGTGTGAAATCTGCACAGGCACTGAAGACAGAATTCACAATGGCAAACTTTAGCCTACGGAGGTAAGTACCTTCAAGTCATCTTCAAGCCAAGAGGTGAGTATCTAAAGTCAGCGATGAAAGGCAGGGCTTCCCCAGAGTACTTTAAGTAAAGATTTATTCCAAAATTGAGCTTAAACTACCCATGCTAAAGTAATAT